ACAACGTACCTATATAATAGCATTTAATATCTTTAAAGGATAATGTTACTACAACATCCGAAGGGGAAAAGTCTGTTGCGAAGAGAAATCCTATTTCTAAGCCCTAACTTTCCGCTGTCAAGTTTCTTTCTATTCCGAACCCAGAGTGACTTTATTCCTGTCATTTTGCACAGCATCCTCACTGCCAGCACCCACGGAAACACCCAGAGCCGGTGACTAACTACAGTTTAGCCCAGCTGGAGTATTTTTTGCCTTATAATATTGGTTCTTACCAATTCTTAGTGGTTCAAGTTTTTTCTGGGGAATTGGAGAGACGTGGAGTTAATTGCTGTGGCTTATAAGAAATATATTGCTTTGTCTTCAAAATTGTAGCAGCAGCTTCACAGGATGGAAATACCCTTTAAAGTTACTGTTATTATTATTATAACACAAGGGTTTTTACCCTTGTTTGGGAACGTATCTAAAACACAGCGGCGAGAAAGGAGGCGTTGGTAGCAAAGGATCCGGAGGGTTTGGATGGTCCGCGTTGAGTTTTGTGAAAGCGGAGGAAGGAGCTCGCTGCTGGCTCGCTCGGCCAAACCTCCGGGACGCAACGAGCTTCTGCCAGACACCCACCATTGAAAGAAGTTATCGAGGTATATTAAAACCCTAAATAGGACATACATTAAAAGTTATTAAAAATTATTAATATTTGTGCTCAGGAATCCAGGTTTCTGCCCACACCAAGTTTCTCGTGTGCTGTATATCACTTTTGGGGAGACTTAACTTCATCCTAGCTCAGTCACAACTGAGCTTTGCCATCTGCAGTCCCAACTAGAGCCTTCCTGTCCCCAAAGAAAAGGTTCCCAATGGGATAAACCAAAGCAAAATTGCTGCAACATTTTCCTTTTTTTGCCCCCACCCAAGAAAGGGACAATTAAAAGAGGAAAGGGAGAAATGAATCTTGAGGAATTCTGGCATTCGGGCTCGACTTCTCTGGTTCTCGCCATTTGTAATTTAAATTTTAATTTAAATGAAATATTTTTGTGAACACTAGGACTGCTTCTACAGTGAGAAACAAGGTGACTAGTTAAGAAAGTAGTAAATAAGTTTGTGCCAAATATTAGCGGTGCTTGGCAGAGGGCACAAGTCTAAAACCAAAGCGGTGCTGATGCTGGAGAAGGAAAATCTGCTGAGTTTGTTTCAGCTTGTTTAGGCCAGTGTCTCTCTGAGATGTCGTTAGCCTTTCCTTGTGCATTCCCGTTAGCATCTTGAATTCAGCTCCTGAATTCTTAACTAAAACCAAACATGATTTCATCCAAACAAAGCAAGAGAGATTCCTGAAGGTAAATGTGGTGTGTCCATAAACACAGCCTTTTGGAGACGGTTACCGCTTCATCTATGGGCTCCTGCAAACCTCACCAGGGGCATCCATCAAATTCACAACACTTTGATGCCTTTTATTTTTTTATTTTTTTTTAACATCAGCTTGACATTCGAGAGCCACAAGGCTGGCTCTTGCAGGAAGCCTCCCAGGAAAAGGCACTACATAGCAATTAACTTCTCAGGCTACATTGAACTGATCTTTCAAAAATCTGGAGGATGGAGAAGGTAAATTAACTGTAACGGAGTAAAGCTAAAAGGGAAGAGACAGCAGCACCCTTGAAGACACACATAGAGAGAGACCACCTAAACCTTCAGGGCCCGGCAGGTCCCACCAGACAAGCTGTGCCCAGTACCAGCTCGTGTGCTGAGCTCCTGCAGCATCGTCCCTTTGGGGAGCGGGGGCTGAGAGCAGCTCCCAGCATTACGCTACTCAAAATCCCAGTAACCCCACTCATGTAAATTGAGTTTCTGCTTTTTCTCTGTAACAGATTTTTTTTTTTTTTCCCTTTCATTTAAAACTGTAGAAGGGAAAATCTTACAGGAATGGCATTATCTAAAATCAGCTGGAGCCCTAGCTGCCTCTAGCCAGCACATTTTGAAAGCAGCTTTCTGCCCCTGGGCAGCATTCAGACTAAAGAGCCGTAGCAGGACGGCACGGGAAGGCTGCAGCACCCACCCGCCTCGTGCCTCGCAGGAGCAGCCGATATCTGATCCCGCTCGAGCGTATATATTTATCTTCCTTCACATCATCTGCTGGTGGGGACACGCAGGCCATTCGTCCCCCAAGCACTACTGCTGTTAGTAGGTAACCCAGGCAGCCCTACAGCAAGATGGGTAATAAAATCCAGAAGAGATTTACAAGGGGTTTGACGCTGGAGATGCCCATCGAGGCAGCACTCGCCATCGGAGCTGAAGAGAGAGAGAGATTATCTGAAATGGGGGGAGGTCCCAAGTCCTGGCTTCTCGTACAAAGTCACCGCTGACTTGCATTGCGACCTCGGGGAAGTCACCTGTGCTTGTGCTGCTGGTCATGAACTGCCTAGAAAACGACGACGCCATTTCCGTCATCTGTACAAGTGCTTTAAGACAGCACTGATGCGCTGAAATGTTTTAAGATCCTTGGATGAGAGGTGCTATGTACAGAAGGGAAAAGCTCTCCTTGTAGGGCTAACGTAGCGTTCGGGTTAGCTATTAACAGTCAAACAGAGAAAGCGCGTGCGTACCAGAACAATGTCTCTGGTTTTGATTCGTGGCAGCCGGTGGGTGAAGATATCACATAGCCCTCAGCAACGGCAGCCGTGCTCAGCTGGCTTCGCTGGGAACACGAGTCTTCTGATAAAAGCATCAGCTCAGTGCATCAATACCCTCTCTAAAGTCCTTCCTTGGGTGAGAAACAAGAGCAGGAGACATGGCAGGGAAGCAAAATCTTTCCCCTTGACCTCCTGGCAGCTTCTTCGTCCCCACGTTATGGGTCAGGAGCACTGGGGCAGTGGAGGTAAAGGCAGCGCATCCCTCCTGGGCAGATCCCGTGCCGCAGCCTGCTCCAACGGCAGGATCACGGTGCAGAGGAGGCTGAATCGAAAGAATTAGCCCAATGCTCGTCACCGATTGCTAAACACAGCAGAGCTTCCCGGTCATTTTATTGTTGGTTTAGAATGATTAAATCTGTTGAGGAACCTCCGCCTACCTGAGGCGCAGCACAAGTAGTTCCCAACAACAGAAGCAGAGGAAACAACAACTGAGTAAAAATGGGCAGTTTTCTTTTTTTTTTTTTTTAATAGAAAGGTGAGTTTATTATGGCAAACATCTCTCAAACTTCAAAGTGCTGCCACCATCTTTGCAGCAGCTTCTCTTGGGCCGGATGAGGAAGTGAAGCTCCACAGCTTCTGGTGCCCTGCGTTAGGGGAAAAACTCCTAACGGAGCTGCCTTAAAGGGGAGGGGACCACAGTGGAGGGATGGGGACAGAGCATCACTTGTTTCACCTCCATCCATCATAAGTTAATATTTTCTTTAGCAGGCATTGTGTGCCCTGGGTATTCACTATCTATCTCTCTAATTCACAAGAAGAAAAAACCCTGTAAAAAGTCTTGGGTTTAGTCAATAAATGACAAAAATAAGTTTTAAATATATAACTTCACGGCCTCAGGAAACTGTTTGTGCCCCCGCCCCAACTCAAGTCCTCGGTCCTGGGGAGAAGGGCATAGGTGACTACATGACCTGCAAAACACAAAAGGGAAATAGTTAATATGTCACACTGAATTACTCATTAATCTTAATGAGAGCACAGAGAAATTGCTTCAGGCTGAGAGGAGGCTTAGGAAGGCAATACTACATCAGCTTCACACCTTTACACCCGGCATGAAAATAGGACGGGGAAGAGATGGGCACTCTGAGCGGGCTCCAGAGGAGAACACGTGCCCAGGCACCGGCAGCTGCCCAAGACTTATCGTCTCTTGAAGTCTCATCAATCTCAGGATCTCGGTGCAGAACCGGCATTTGGTCCGACAGCCACGTGGCCCACTCAAAACGCAGCCAAGTCCCAGCTTGACTTCCTTGCAGGTCTTCCTCTCTTCTTGCCCCATTTACCACGCTCACAAGCAAACCCGGTACGGGAGCCTCCGATCTCTGCTACAAGCGCCAAGCCCTCGCGGTGCAGGGGGAGGACTTACAGAGGCAGCGCGGGGCAACAGGAGCGGGACGTCTCTGCCGCTCCGGTACCGTCAGGGCATAGAAAGAGAGAAGCTGGCTGGCATGAGCACGTTAGCTTAGATCTCAAAAAAAAAAAAAGCATCAAAGCAGAATCTTAATAGGCATTTTTGTCTTCCGTCACATTCCTCAGGAACTGTTTATCTCCGCGAGCTCTGAGGCATGTGTTGGAGACTCAGCCTGTGGAGGGTCTCTGTCTAATTACAGACTTCATCCCAGGACCTGCCTTAACGATGCGCATTCCCATCGCTCACCATAGACGGAATCTCCTGCCCACGTTGAAGGGAGCTTTAACAGACCATGGATCAAACGTGACTGTTTAGGTTATTTGTTCAGTAGAAATATGTGCTTGTTTTTAGCATGTTGCTGTCTTTGGCGTTCTTACTTTAATATTATGATTATTTTTTTTCTGTCTCTGCATGTTCTGTCCTTTCTTTGTGTTACTTTTCCTTCTCAGCACCAAGTTGCAGCCTCTCCCAGAGCCCTCGGCTTCCGCCCTCGCTTTGCTCCGTAGCCAAACCTGCCACCCATCAGACTGTAATGCTCCCTGTAAAACTGGGAGAGTTTCAAGGCTGTGGGGAAAGTCTCATTCCTTTTGAATTTCAAATCCGTGGTTTCAGGTTGCCTGCAGAGAAGGCAGAAGTCTCTACGGATTTCCACAAGCTAATCAGAAAGCGGGCTTGTTTCTGTAAGCGTCAGTGCTATAAGCAAATCCTTCAACTACATTAGAGAAGTTATGTCGGCATAGCTAGGAGTATAATTTGACAAGTGTTTCCTTTACTGTTGCTCCAGCTTCAACCTCCTCTGTCCCCTCATTTAGGCTGGTACATCTGGTTTCACAGCCTTGTGGTTTTAAAGGATTAAGCCATTTGACTTAATAGGGTTGGGTGGGGGTTTTTTTTCCCCCCTCCAATCAAGCCACAAATAATTATTTCTTGTTCCGATCAGATTCACTGTCTGCCCCCAGGCAGCTAAACCAATACAGCTGATAGGCCGTGAAAAGAACTGTTCGTGAAACAACATCTTCAAATCTGTTTTAAAAATCACGGGTGAAAAGCTTCAATGCACTTGAGCTTGTTCTTGTTTAAATTATTGCTTAGACCGGTAAATGGCTGAATTCACAACCCAACAACTTTTATCCCACTGCAACTAGAAATATCTTTAAGACTTGTGTTCTCAGAGGATTTGGGCTTTACCTTCTGTTTTCTCCTTTCCGGTCAGTGGGCAAGGCAGTGCCTTCCCTCTTAGAGATGCGCATTGGACCCCAGGGAGGCTTTGTAAAGCCTTGTGAGGCAGAAAAAACCATCAGGAACCTTTATATCTTTGCCAGAGCACCCATGAAAACACAGTACTGCAGCTTCAATCCACGCTAGTAATTCTCATGATAGATCTCCAGTCTGGAAGGGACCACACGCTTCAGGACTCAGCGTGGGGCAGCACTTTTCCTTACGTTGCCTCTGAACCTGTGGGGTTTTATTTTCCTGTTCAGTTTTCAATTATTTGACTCACACTTCGCAGGCTTCATTTCCCAGCATGTTAACAGCTGGGGGTTTTGAAGGCTGCAGTCTGGCAAGGGCAGTGCCTGGAATGGATAGTAATTACTTGCTGAGCTCATTATAATTGTTCAGTTATTGAATAATTTGGAATGGCAAGCAGGGGGAATATTTGGTTAATTAAGAACTCGTTTAATCATTGCTAAATTTAGCCTTCCAAAACAGTGCTCACCTTCCCCGGATTTGAAAACCTGTGGCGGGGGGAGCAGGAACGCTTTCTCTCGAGTCTTTGACTTCAGTCATCGAGACGGCACTTGCTCTTCGCCTTGTGGTGTCCTGGTCTTGGTCCTTAGTCCCACCTAGCTCCGACCCTCCCGCATTTAGCTTCACAGGCATTAAGATCTCTCTGAAGCTGCCAGTCTCCAGTGAGATGTTTAATTACAGACAATTAATGTAAGCGCTCGGGCACTCGAGACTTAAGTGAGAAGTAGCATTTGACTTAAGATGAATACAACTTAATTATAAACAAATAATGAACAGATTTTTTTTTTTCCCACTTTGGGCATTTAACCTTTGTCCTAGATTAATTTAACACATGATATTCTTCATGCACAGTATCGGTCAGGTGTAACTACCACCACAGATACGCCCATGGGATTTGGCTGTCAGGCAGCACATACAGGTGAAAAGGGTACCGTCCTCCCAGCGTGGAAGTCAACCGCAGACGTTCAGGAAAAAAAAGAAAAAGCAAAGGCTTGAAACCCTTGCTGACCACAGGCAGATTTATCCCCTTTGCACTTCCAAAGTGAAAAATGTTTAGAGCCTCCAAGAGCTAGCAGTTCTTCTGATCCCGTGTGTAGGGCACCCAAAATAACAAGGAGGAAGAGCCTGTGCTGAACCTCATCCTTCACAACACACTTCAGATTGAAGTAAGCTTATTTTTTCTGTTAGGGAGAAGACATTAGAATAAGCCAGATCTTGTATGGCTAGAGACATACCAGTCTTTTACAAAGGCATCCATGAACTTCTTGGATTTTGCTTTTAGTTTAAATGCTGGGGGAAAAAAGGAAAAAAATTAAACAGGTTTTTCAGAGCAAACTCTGCAAAGTAAATTCTGCCAAACAGAAGAGCCAAAGCAGGTTGATTTTAAAACCTGACAACCTTGACAGCCTCCTCGCAGCAGCACAAAGCTACGTCATTTCTGCAGTTACCCCTGGTTACAAAATTGTTGAATGAAAAGGAATCCAAACCTGTTGAGGGTTGTAACTCTCACACAGACAGAACAAATGACCTGGAATGATAAATAGTCGATTACTCCACTGGGTCTTTAATTGAATATTTTGCCAAATGGCTCCCAATTAATGGAGCTCATCCATTCTGAGTCGGGGCTGCTGAGGAGATCAGGAAGCTCACGGTGGGATCTAGCTGATTTTAAATATTCCCTTCCCCCCGCCTCCACGAGACTGGACGGCATAAGGCAGCTCTTCAACAGACCCTGTGATTTCAAATAGAGAAGTGTTAGGGGATATTCTGTCCCTGCCCCCAAGGAAAAAGAATCAAGTTAACATACAGGCTAGAATTAGTGTTTTCTCTTCAATTAGTAATTTCTTCTAAATGAATAAGGCTGAGACATCTACTTTAGCAAAACAATTAAATAGTACATCAATAAAGCAGCTGCCTTAAACCAGGCAAGTGACTTTGCCTCATTCCCCGCCTTTATTTTCATCCTACATTCTGGAGGGTTAACATTTGGGGCCACTTCCACTCCCGGGGCAGTGATTTCTAGGAAGAGCACGGCACGGCTGGGCTCCGGGCTGGCTGGGCACACAGGCAGGCGTCCTGCAGGCAGCTCAGCCCGGGGACACCGCGTGGCTTCAGTCACGCTGCCAGACAGTCACCGATCCCATCCCTCCTCCCATGTATCTTGCCAAGGAAGTGGTATTTAATCAAAATGGTTCCTTAAAGTTTTTTCTAACTATTCTTCCTGAAACGCCCTGCTTTAAAGTAAGGCTTTATGCAAAACATTTCTGCAACTTAGCTTATCAAGTTCCAGAAGAGCTTAATTAAAAAAAAAAAATCTGTTTTAATCATTCAGTCTTGCCTTTGTGCTTTGTAGCTGTTC